CTTGAGTAAAAGTAGAAGTACTCAGATCTTGTTCTTGAGTAAAAGTAGAAGTACTCAGATTTGTACTTGAGTAAAAGTAGAAGTACTCAGATCTTGTACTTGAGTAAAAGTAGAAGTACTCAGATCTTGTACTTGAGTAAAAGTAGAAGTACTCAGATCTTGTACTTGAGTAAAAGTAGAAGTACTCAGATCTTGTACTTGAGTAAAAGTAGAAGTACTCAGATCTTGTACTTGAGTAAAAGTAGAAGTACTCAGATCTTGTACTTGAGTAAAAGTAGAAGTACTCAGATCTTGTACTTGAGTAAAAGTAGAAGTACTCAGATCTTGTACTTGAGTAAAAGTAGAAGTACTCAGATCCTGTACTTGAGTAAAAGTAGAAGTATCAGATCTTGTACTTGAGTAAAAGTAGAAGTACTCAGATCTTGTACTTGAGTAAAAGTAGAAGTACTCAGATCTTGTACTTGAGTAAAAGTAGAAGTATCTCAGATCTTGTTACTTGAGTAAAAGTAGAAGTACTCAGATCATGTACTTGAGTAAAAGTTAGAAGTACTCAGATCTTGTACTTGAGTAAAAGTAGAAGTACTCAGATCTGTACTTGAGGTAAAAGTAGAAGAGTACTCAGATCTTGTACTTGAGTAAAAGTAGAAGTACTCAGATCTTGTACTGAGTAAAAGTAGAAGTACTCAGATCTTGCTACTTGAGTAAAAGTAGAAGTACTCAGATCTTGTACTGATAGTAAAGTAGAAGTACTCAGATCTTGACTGAGTAAAAGTAGAAGTACTCAGATCTTGTACTTGAGTAAAGTAAAGTAGAAGTACTCAGATCTTGTACTTGAGTAAAAGTAGAAGTACTCAGATCTTGTACTTGAGTTGAAAGTAGAAGTACTCAGATCTTGTACTTGAGTGATTAAAGTAAGAAGTACTCAGCATCTTGTACTTGATCTTGTACTTGAGTGAAAGTAAGTACTCAGATCTTGTACTTGAGTAAAAGTAGAAGTACTCAGATCTTGTACTTGAGTAAAAGTAGAAGTACTCAGATCTTGTACTGGAGTAAAAGTAGAAGTACTCAGATCTTGTACTTGAGTAAAAGTAGAAGTACCAGAGTGGAGGAATACTCTGTTTCAGTAAAAGTCCTGCATTCAAAATGTTCCTCAAGTGAAAGTAGAAAAGTATTCTCATCAAAATATAGTGAAAGACAGTAAAAGTATTCGTTGTGCAGATTGGTCCATTTCAGAATAATATATATGATATGTTTTATAATGATTGATCAGTAAAGTGTTCTCAAAGCTGGTGAAGGTGCAGCTAGTTTGAAGTACTTTGTATTCTGCAGGGGAGCTGGTGGATTTACTCCAGGTAGCGAAATGTAAGTACCTGAAAAGTGTACTTAAGTACAGTACTTTAGTAAAGGTACTTAGTTACCTTCCAAGTCTGCGATTACATTATTTAAAATCACAACGTACTTTCACATTAACTCAGAGATCATTAAACTACAGCCAAACACAATCGGGGGGGTTTGGGTGTAACCCCGGCCCCTCACCCTGTCCCATGAGCTGGGGATTAGTATTAGTATATCAGTATATTAGTATATTATATTCATATATTAAAACACTCACGTTCAGCAGTAGGTTTCTGTTTCCTCGTTTCAAACCTCGTCAAGCTACCAGAGGTCACACACTGACTACAGAGGGAAGGGTGGTGCCTTCAAAATAAAAGCGTTTTCATGAGGAGGTGTGCACTCCGCTCTGCATCAACCGCTACACCCTCGCTGCGAGGGGGACCCAAGTTCCCATCAGCAGAAACACGTGGGTTTGCTGTCCTGGCTCCAAGATGGTGGAATGAGCTCCCCATTGACATCAGGACGGCAGATAGCTTACACACCTTCCAGACTGAAAACTAATCTCTTTCGACTCCACTTCGAGCGATAGAACTATTAACAAAGCACTTTTATACTAATAAAGGACTGGCTTACCTAAAGCCAGTTGAGTAGCACTTGAAATGTTTGGCTCTATGAAACCTGATGTACTTTATGATTCTGTTTTCTTCAAGGTTGTGTCTTCCTGGTCGAATGTACTTATTGTGAGTCGCTTTGGATAAAAGCCTCAGCTAAATGTAATGTAATAATAATGTAATTCTAGTTGTGCCAGGCCAGACTGATGATTCTCGGCAGCAATGCCATCAAGTGGCTCATTTTGCAGATGAAAAAAACTGTTGCCAAAATATCACATTTCCTGTGACAAGTGTTCAGAGTGATAGTTTGCCCAAGTTGATGTCTCTTGTCCTCCTCAGAGCAAAGCTGGAGCAGAGACTAACTGAAGAGATGTGTCACTCTGCAGCCACTGTGCGAAATGACCTGAGTCTGATGTCTCTGCAGTGAGGAGCCATCACTGAGCCCACCCAGTCCAAAGCCAGACCTGCACACACTGTGTGGGGAGGGGTGTCCCGTCCTTATGGGGAGGGGTGTCCCGTCCTTATGGGGAGGGGTGTCACGTCCTTATTGGGAGGGGTGTCCCGTCCTTATGGGGAGGGGTGTCACGTCCTTATGGGGAGGGGTGTCCCGTCCTTATGGGGAGGGGTGTCACGTCCTTATTGGGAGGGTGTCCCGTCCTTATGGGGAGGGGTGTCCCGTCCTTATTGGGAGGGGTGTCACGTCCTTATGGGGGAGGGGTGTCACGTCCTTATGGGGAGGGGTGTCACGTCCTTATGGGGAGGGGTGTCCCGTCCTTATTGGGAGGGGTGTCACGTCCTTATGGGGAGGGGTGTCCACGTCCTTATTGGGAGGGGTGTCCCGTCCTTATGGGAGGGGTGTCCCGTCCTTATGGGGAGGGGTGTCACGTTCCTTATTGGGAAGGGGTAGGGTGTCCCGTCCTTATGGGGAGGGTGTCCGTCCTTATGGGGAGGGGTGTCACGTCCTTATGGGGAGGGGGTGTCCCGTCCTTATGGGGAGGGGTGTTCCCGTCCTTATGGGGAGGGGTGTCCGGTCCCGTCCTTATGGGGGGGGTGTCACGTCCTTATGGGGGGGTGTCCCGTCCTTATGGGGAGGGGTTCACGTCCTTATGGGGAGGGTGTCCACGTCACTTATGGGGAGGGGTGTCCCGTCCTTATGGGGAGGGGTTGTCCCGTCCTTATGGGGAGGGGTGTCACGTCCTTATTGGGAGGGGTGTCCCGTCCTTATGGGGAGGGGTTGTCACGTCCTTATTGGGAGGGGTGTCCCGTCCTTATGGGGAGGGGTGTCACGTCCTTATGGGGAGGGGTGTCCCGTCCCTTATGGGGAGGGGTGTCCCGTCCTTATGGGGAGGGGTGTCACGTCCTTATGGGGAGGGGTGTCCGTCCTTATGGGGAGGGGTGTCACGTCCTTATGGGAGGAGGGGTTGTCACTTCCTTATGGGGAGGGGCTGTCACCGTCCCTTATGGGGAGGGGTGTCCCGTCCTTATGGGGAGGGGTGTCACGTCCTTAATGGGGAGGGGTTGGTCATTATGGGGAGGGGTGTCACGTCCTTATTGGGAGGGGTGTCCCGTCCTTATGGGGAGGGGTGTCACGTCCTTATTGGGAGGGGTGTCCGTCCTTATGGGGAGGGGTGTCACGTCCTTATGGGGAGGGGTGTCCCGTCCTTATGGGGAGGGGTGTCACGTCCTTATTGGGAGGGGTGTCACGTCCTTATGGGGAGGGGTGTCACGTCCTTATTGGGAGGGGTGTCCCGTCCTTATGGGGAGGGGTGTCCCGTCCTTATTGGGAGGGGTGTCACGTCCTTATTGGGAGGGGTGTCCCGTCCTTATGGGGAGGGGTGTCACGTCCTTATGGGGAGGGGTGTCACGTCCTTATGGGGAGGGGTGTCACGTCCTTATGGGGAGGGGTGTCCCGTCCTTATTGGGAGGGGTGTCACGTCCTTATGGGAGGGGTGTCCCGTCCTTATGGGAGGGGTGTCCCGTCCTTATTGGGAGGGGTGTCCCGTCCTTATTGGGAGGGGTGTCACGTCCTTATGGGGAGGGGTGTCACGTCCTTATGGGGAGGGGTGTCACGTCCTTATGACGAGGGGTGTCACGTCCTTATGGGGAGGGGTGTCACGTCCTTATGGGGAGGGGTGTCCCGTCCTTATGGGGAGGGGTGTCCCGTCCTTATTGGGAGGGGTGTCCCGTCCTTATTGGGAGGGGTGTCACGTCCTTATGGGGGAGGGGTGTCACGTCCTTATGGGGAGGGGTGTCACGTCCTTCTGACGAGTGGTGTCACGTCCTTATGGGGAGGGGTGTCACGTCCTTATTGGGAGGGGTGTCCCGTCCTTATGGGGAGGGGTGTCACGTCCTTATTGGGAGGGGTGTCCCGTCCTTATGGGGAGGGGTGTCACGTCCTTATTGGGAGGGGTGTCACGTCCTTATTGGGAGGGGTGTCCCGTCCTTATGGGAGGGGTGTCCCGTCCTTATGGGGAGGGGTGTCACGTCCTTATGGGGAGGGGTGTCCCGTCCTTATGGGGAGGGGTGTCACGTCCTTATTGGGAGGGGTGTCCCGTCCTTATGGGGAGGGGTGTCACGTCCTTATGGGGAGGGGTGTCACGTCCTTATTGGGAGGGGTGTCCCGTCCTTATGGGGAGGGGTGTCCCGTCCTTATGGGGAGGGGTGTCACGTCCTTATTGGGAGGGGTGTCCCGTCCTTATGGGGAGGGGTGTCACGTCCTTATGGGGAGGGGTGTCCCGTCCTTATGGGGAGGGGTGTCACGTCCTTATGGGGAGGGGTGTCCCGTCCTTATGGGGAGGGGTGTCCCGTCCTTATGGGGAGGGGTGTCCCGTCCTTATGGGGAGGGGTGTACCGTCCTTATGGGGAGGGGTGTCACGTCCTTATGGGAGGGGTGTCACGTCCTTATGGGGAGGGGTGTCCCGTCCTTATGGGGAGGGGTGTCCCGTCCTTATGGGGAGGGGTGTCACGTCCTTATGGGGAGGGGTGTCACGTCCTTATTGGGAGGGGTGTCACGTCCTTATGGGGAGGGGTGTCCCGTCCTTATGGGGAGGGGTGTCACGTCCTTATGGGGAGGGGTGTCACGTCCTTATGGGGAGGGGTGTCCCGTCCTTATTGGGAGGGGTGTCCCGTCCTTATTGGGAGGGGTGTCCCGTCCTTATGGGGAGGGGTGTCACGTCCTTATGGGGAGGGGTGTCCCGTCCTTATGGGGAGGGGTGTCCCGTCCTTATTGGGAGGGGTGTCCCGTCCTTATGGGGAGGGGTGTCCCGTCCTTATGGGGAGGGGTGTCACGTCCTTATGGGGAGGGGTGTCACGTCCTTATGGGGAGGGGTGTCCCGTCCTTATTGGGAGGGGTGTCCCGTCCTTATTGGGAGGGGTGTCCCGTCCTTATGGGGAGGGGTGTCACGTCCTTATGGGGAGGGGTGTCCCGTCCTTATGGGGAGGGGTGTCCCGTCCTTATTGGGAGGGGTGTCCCGTCCTTATGGGGAGGGGTGTCCCGTCCTTATGGGGAGGGGTGTCACGTCCTTATGGGGAGGGGTGTCCCGTCCTTATTGGGAGGGGTGTCCCGTCCTTATGGGGAGGGGTGTCACGTCCTTATGGGGAGGGGTGTCCCGTCCTTATGGGGAGGGGCGACCACCGATAATGGACATGCTCTCAAAGCATTAGTGGACAGTGGATCTATGGCATGCACAATTAGTGAGGCAGCTGACATAAGACTTTCACAATCTGTCCCTAACATGGAAAGGAAATCAGCTGAAGACTTTGTCATAGTTGGTTGTGGTGGTCACCTCGTTACTCCGTCTGCCATGTAGGATCTTACTGCATCAGGTTATGGCTGTAAGGTTATACTTCCTGTTCTTTCGACTCCACTTCGAGCGATAGAACTATTAACAAAGCACTTTTATACTAATAAAGGACTGGCTTACCTAAAGCCAGTTGAGTAGCACTTGAAATGTTTGGCTCTATGAAACCTGATGTACTTTATGATTCTGTTTTCTTCAAGGTTGTGTCTTCCTGGTCGAATGCACTTATTGTGAGTCGCTTTGGATAAAAGCGTCAGCTAAATGCAATGTAATGAAATGTAATGTAATGCTGCCCCTGCAAACCTACTGTGAGTGAGGCTTTTATTTTGAAGGTTTTCGTCTGAAGTCTTCCCCTGTGTGCAGACTCATTAGAGTTCCTGCAGGAAGACATCATAAATCAATAGATCAGTAACTCTGGAGTCTCTGTGCTCTCTCTTTATTATGGACATCTTTGAATATATACTTGCAGAAACACATATAATAAAGTATTGATTTCTTCTTCTCTCTGCCAGTTGCTTTGACTCTGAGGTGCAGCTTCACCGAAACTGCACCTGATATTTACATTACACTGAAGGGTGTATTCAGGTTCAGGAACAGGTTCAGGTTATTTATTTGTACCCGTAGGTAGATTCTGTTTGCAGAGAAAAAGACAAGGGTTCCATCCTGACACTAAAAATAAACACAAACAACAGACACATCTCTAATAAAGGACAAGTACAAGTACAAGTACAAGTACAAGTACAAGTATACCCTGCTCAACCAAATCTCAAAATATTTTAAGAAGGAAAACACTAGTACAAACATGGACATTCAAAATTCACAATTAAATAAATAAATAAAACTAGGCATCTGTGTGACGCTCCTGTGTTAATGTGTGCTATAGCTGCTGGGATGTTTTCATAGCGCTTCGTTCTACTCCTTGGGACGAGCAACCTCCGGCCCGAAGGAAGAAGCTTGAACTCTGAGTG